ATTGTTTTAGACAAATGGGCCTTCGATGGAACCAACCTTCCACACTGGAGATTTCATAATAGGCGAGAGAAGGCCAAAAGATATAGCTTATGGAAATATTATAATTTTGAGGTCCCCGTTTGATCCTGATGGTTACCTCGTAAAAAGACTGATGGGTCTACCAGGTGATATCAAAAGAAATGGCCTCTCATTCACCAAGGTGCGCTGATAGGCTGCATTTTGTACACTTTCACGCTTACAGGGAAACAAAAATACTGATTTGTTTTATGATGAGTTTTATATATTTTGCAGGTCCCAGAAGGCCATATGTGGCTTGAAGGAGACAATTCCAGCAATTCCAGGGACAGTAGAAGTTTTGGATCGGTGCCTCAAGGCCTCATAACAGGAAGAGCCTTGTACAAAGTGTGGCCACTCAGTGATGCCAAAGTGTTATAACATTTAAGGATTATTTATTTATTATTAAGTGACTCTCAAAGTGACGTAGGTTATCATTTTTAATTTTTTTCCCCCCTGAAAGTATTCTCAAATGGTTTCATGGCATGTGAATATGCTGTCATCTGACTTAAACAACTAGTTCCGATGGTTGTTCTCTTACTTTACACTTCCAAGACTGTGATTACAACTAGAGAATATATTTTGTTTTGTTTCTAATTGCCCACCTCTGTTGATTTGACCTCTCATGAACGATCCTCCAGCGCTGCGCCCTCGAACACCGGCCGCCCGGCGGCCGCACCTGGGGGGCTCGGTGACGTTTGCCGCCCCACCGCCTCGCCTCGCCAGCGGGGCGTGGACGACATGGTCGCTCTGTTCCGTGACATAAGCGTGGCGTAACGGGAGGTAACGAGGGAGAGGGAGCGAGAGAGACGTCTAGCATCGGCTAGGAAAGGCCGCCGGCCGCCGGCGGCCCTAGGCGAGCTGACCAGGTGTCTGTTGGCACCAGTTCTCACGCGCAGGGGCCTAGGCCACCGCGACAGAGGGACGTGACCGACGTGGCCAGAAGCGGCGCCTCTCGAACTTCGGAGGGGTACGAGAGAGACGTCGGCCCGTCGCGCGGACGCCGCTCGGCCGTGACACGCCTGGACCCGCGCCAGCGCGTGCGTGCCGCGTGCGTGCCTGCCATACGCACGGCCGTGCGCCGTCGGGGGTGTTGGAGGGAGAGGGGAGGACCTTCTTGGCATCTCCACGGGATGGCCCGTCCTTCCACGGTCCAGGGCTTTGGTCTGCAGCATGCATGCGAGATGCCTCGAGCGCAACCACCCGGTCCCCAGTGAGAAGTAGTGACATGTCGAAGCGACGCCGAAACCATGTCGAAAGGCTGACATCCGGTGACATCAAACCGATGTCGTTTCGAGGGTTACTTCTCACTATGGGGCGCGCCAGGGGATAGTGCTGCAGCGCAGCCTCGCGGCTTCGGATTTGTCATTATTGTCTAGGCAAGAGGGAAACCCCAGCTCAGCCCATAGGCCAGTAAGGGGGCGGGTTTGAACAGTGACCCGATGGATCCGAGAGAGACGGAGGCGAGCTCATCGCGGAGCTCGCAGATAACATTGTCTGTCTCCTACAATGTCTGTCTACAAGCTGGTGACCGGCACGCACGCGCCACTCAATAGAACTCAATACCGGTCGAGATAAGGCGCACGTAATCCTTTATTTCGAGATTGCGGCGAGTTTTGGCCCGAAGGGGGGACCCTCGAACTCGAGGCTCTCCCGGCTATGTGACCTATGGCCTAGGATTCGTTCTGTGCCCGTGTTGCAGGGCCGAGTCGTTTGCAGTCTTGTAGGCGGGGCCAGGTGTCTATGGTGGGGCCGTCATGAGGGGCTGCCCCGGCCTGGTTGTTTGCATTTATTTTTGCACGGGGATGCGGCCGCACGTTGTTGCAGCTCTGAAACACCTAATCCCTTCTTTATCGATCTCCGGCGCGCCGTTGCCATATGTTATCTCGTCCCGGTCGGCGACCGCGGCAGGCCTTCCCTCCAGGAGGAGGGTCTCCGCGGCGAGGGCCTCCCTCGGCTCCCTCGACAACAAACCCGTCCCGACCCGGGTCATCCACCTCATCCGCCCTGCACAACAAGGTGGCCTCGGAGCATGGCCGTGACCGGGAGTGCCTGCGAGTTACCGAGGCCCAGACGAGAGGCTTCACACGGGAAAAAATGATCAGCTGTATGGCTAAAACAATGGCTAAATGAGGGATTACTAATTATTTAGCTATGTAGGCCTATCCTTTAGCTAAAATTTTTGTCATGCTTTGATATACAGGGTGGTGGTCCACAGACCCCTTCCTTTATTTTGCTTACACTGCTGTACCGCATGCAGGCGTGCGGGCGGGCTTGCCTATCGTCGCTCACCACGGTGCCTTATGGTCCCGTGCGCGAGTATGCAACCCGGTCGCACGCCCGCATCCGGTACAGTATAAGCAAGATAAAGGAAGGGGTCTGTGGACCACCCTGCATAGTTTAATTTTTAGCTACACAAACTTTTAGTTATTTTTTTTTTTTTGCGACATAGCTACATTGCTTAATAATCATTTCTTATCTAGCTATTGTTTAGCTATTTAGCTAATCTTTTTTCTCATGCGTATTTATTCCTTGTCGCTTGATTTTGCGCGACATGTCCATAGGCCGCTTCAGCCGCTCCTCCTCAAGACGAAGCGTTCTGCGGGAGCGCGGTGCTGGCTGCGCTAGCTAACTAGCTAACCCGCCCCCGCGTGGCGCACGTGCGCGGCCCGGTGCAGGCTCGATAGAGGTCGATAAGATAATACGATGGTCGATACATGGTCGACATGACTGCCTGCATCCAGCCCAAGTGTAGTGATTAGCGATTACCGCCCCGATCCCGATATCCGTGTCAGAGCAGCGCGCAGCCGCGCCCATCGCCGAGGCGCGCACTCTGGCACACTGGACTGCGGGGCGGGCAGGCGAAGGAGCTAGGTATCGAATCGACTCACTGACCGCGATATTCCCCGCGTGGGTTCCCTCGCGGCTCGTACTAAAGCACTGAAACCTTCTTCGTTTTCCTCTCATACGAAGAGTGCATGACACCAAGTCAGCTGTACCGCTGTTCTTTGATAGCAACATTTGGCCTCAGCCAGCACACACGGAACCACAATGACACGACAGTGACTTTGACAGGGAATTCCCTTCCCGCCATCCATTCGCCGCACCACGCCTCGCTTTGACGTGCCCGGTTCGCAATTTCACGCCCGCGTGTTTCCTTCAAGTCTCTGTATGAATGGATAACTCGAGGAAAACAACTACATCACGGTCTCACTTTTTAGATGGATAACGCAGTACAAAAGTCGCAACGATTTCAATTCTGTCGACACGTTTTTGAACGCCCACAAATGACGCGTACGTCAGAGTTGTTTCAACGACGCCGCCGTCAGTTCTGAGTGCGCCGGGCCGCTTTGAGCGGCGCAAGGCGAGTGCATGCATGAGCTACACAGTGCAAACGAGGCGTGATGGTCGCCCCTCGTTCACTTCCCTTCCTCCTTCTCCACCCACATTTCGTTTCCGCTCGACCGGACCACCAGGCCTCGACGCGGGCAGAGCGGCGTCCGTGCGTGCGAACCCCGGAAGCGGCTCGGTGCATATAGTGCATATCAGTGGCGGGGGCGGTGTCGGGAGTTGGGGGTACATGAGACTATTGGACGTGACCTCGATCAGAGGGGGCACCAGGTACATGGTCTCATGTCTTGGGCTGGAAGTCTTGTGTCTGGAGACCTGAGACTTCCAGCCTGAGATATGGGACAATGTACCTGGTACCCGTGTGATCGAGGTCATGTCCGGTTTCATGTCCAGTCTCAACTTCAGTTGCATGTTTTCTAGTCTCAGTCAAGTATATAGTCTCCTGAACCCCCAACCTGTCGTGGACACATGAACGGCAACAGTTGGGCCACAGGTCGTGAATCGCTAGGTCACGTGGTAGGTGACCATGGGGAAGCCAAGCAAGACCGCGGCGAACCTATAGAGTTTGGTAGTCAGTAGTGGAGGAATCGGTTACACGCGGGAGAGGGGGTCAAGCCGCACTCTGCCTGCTTACAGCTTGGCCATCCGGGAGCGAAAGCCCTGCTGCTTGGATTGTCCTCCTGTAAACTGCCTACGCACCAGGCGCCACCGTGAGGCTGTGAGGGTGTCATGGCCGTACCTCCGACCACGGCCCGGCCGACAGATAGTCAGTGCGCAGTGCTCTGACTGTCATGACGGTCTTGTCAGTGGGACAATCGGACCGGGCGGCCGGGGCCGGGCGCACCCGCCCTACTTTAACCGGTCGTCCGTTCTCGCGCCAAAAAGCAGCTGACTGGGCGCCGCTGCGCTCGCTGCGCGGGGCGGGCGTAGAGTCCGGCTCTGCTAGCCGGTCGGAGACAGTGTGAGAGCTGTTTACTGTTGCCAACTGAGAGTCTCGGTATCGACCACGGTGCCGCCATGTGGTGCAGGGCGCAGGTGGCGCCGATGAGCAAATGAGCTTCTGAGCTTCTGAGCTTCTGAGCCATGCCGCACGCAGGGGTCCGTAACTTAACATATAAGGACCTCTTAACGTTTTGTTAATCGTTAGTGTTGTACCCGATAACTGATAACGCCTGCTATGGCACCTAACAAATACGTAAATAACTTATAACTTTTGTTTAAAAAAATAACCGTTCTGGATTTATCAAATATTACTTTGATAAGTGTTTAAGTGTTACGTTCTATTTCATGCCATGGCTGTGCGATATAAGTCACTAAATAAAGGGAAGCCGCTTTTAACGTTAAATGAATAGGTTACATATATAACGTTAAGGGAATAACAAAATTCTTATTGGTTACGTATCTAACTTAACTTAAAGTTTTATTTGCAACTTTGTTAAATTATTTAACAAACCGATCATGTTCGTTATGTTAAGTTACGGACCCCTGGCCGCACGCCCGGGCAGCGGCGCCCTCGACGCAGACGGTGGTTCCGTCGCGCAGTAAAACGCCATAACGCCTGGGGTCAGAACCCTCGCTCGACCCGACCCGGGCTTGCCTGCCTTACGTAGTAGTTCCACCGCGGCTCAGGCAGCCTGGCGGGGCCTGGCGGGGCCTGGCGGGGCGAGCGCACTCGGAAGGCCCCGGGGGGCGCGGCCCGCAAGGCGAGCTGCTCTGCTTTGTCACCGCGATGCGCACCGCGCCGTCTTATTACGAACACAGTCCAGGTCCTCCCCTCCCCTCTCTCCCCGCTCCCCGCTCCCCGCCGAACACCGACCATTTCATGCTCCTCTTTCATTGCCGTGTATGACGCGTCGCGCTGCTTGGCGGTCGTCTGGAAGAGGAGACCATACGATCACGTGACTCCGGAGGCAGGAGCCGGAGGCTGGCTGGGTGTTACCCGATAGAGACTTGTGTGACCCGGTCATGACCTCCCCCTCCTCAAACTTCTGTCCCCAGTGTCCCCGCCCCGCCCTCCAACCTCTTTCGCTCACTCTGGTTCACGTCCAGTCATTCATTGGGCGCAGCTCGTCCGAATTTAGAGCCATTAAACGCGCGGCGGACGGCTGCCCGGCCGGCGAGCAGCACTCCGAATACATCGCTAGCTCGTTGTCAACAAGGCCCCTGCCCC